AACAGACTGAACTCTTGGATTCTGTTTCATAAGGTGTATTTCTGTTTCAATAAGGTGTATTTGTATTTTCCAGTTCTTCCCAATGCATCCACAGGGCTCTGCTTTGCATCTTTAGATATCAGGTGCAAATTTTGATTCAAATAATTTTTATACTGAAGTGTCTGGGTTTACAGTTTTGTGTGAACACCTTTTATTACAAGAAATAAATATAAAGCATGGAAATAGAAACAGGCTCTCCAATCACTTACAGTGTCAGCTACATGGCCGAAGGTAACAGTATCTTTTTTCATGTGCCACTGGGAGTTAAGGTATAAACCAGATGAAATTAAAAAACAGTGAACAAAGGCGCCTCACTTAATTACTCTCTTGCAGACTTCAGGCTATGATTTTCTCGCTTGGGCTCCTGCATTTTTAAAGAAAATGGAATAGGAATTATACAAGGTCAGCACTTTTATCTAAAGTTATCCAGTGGCATCCTACCACTATGAACTTGCTGTGGAAGGATTAAAAGTATGTTGCTGGTTCAACATTTCTCCTTACCCAAATAAAAAGAATGGAAACTTTGTTTTGGACTCTACCACTACAAAATGGCCATGTTCAAAGAATATGATAAATCCAAATTCATTGTGGTCCATTGGATTATGACATGAATATAGGGAAGGAGCAATATCCCAAAACATCAGTAAATATACGATATAGGATGGGAATGATACAGTCAGGAGTGGACTGCAGCTACAGTGAGAAATATTCCCTGCCTGGGGAACAGCCGAGAATGCAGTATTGACCGGCATATTCCTGGGCCAAGAAGATTTCCACCATCTTTTTGTTTTTACCTTTTCTTTTACAGGTGAAGTCAAATGTGAGGCACCAAATAACAAATTGGATAAGTTCACAGGAACTCTTACTCTTCGAGGGGAGAAGTATGCCCTGGACAATGAGAAGATGTTGCTGAGGGGCTGTACGATTAGAAACACAGAATGGTGCTTCGGTCTCGTTATTTATGCCGGTAGGTAACAAAAATTACACGTGAATTGCAGAGCACAGCAGCACTAGCATGGAAGCACATCACACCCAGTATGCATAAAGGAACCAAGAATTTTCCTCTTTGGAAAATATGTTTCTACTGGGTACAAGAACAAAAGTAAAACAATACATGAGATCCCTTGGCTTAACCCTAGTCTGGACATGATGATGCATATTACAGGGGGTTTAATCTGAGATTCTTTAGAAGAGGACATTGCTATATTACAACATCCAATTCTGTTTTGATTAAGTGCTTTAGTAACCAGAAGTAGTCCCTTATTTCAGAAATGCGTGCAGCAAAGTACATGAGAGAAGTCTTGATCAATCAATAAGAAGGAATCTAAGAATTAAATCTGTTTAAGAATAAAATCTGCTTAAGAATTAACACTGAATTAAATCTGCCTTTACTGGCACACACTGGGCCAATTGTAGTCTTTCTTGTGCCAGGCTTGCTCAAAATTTTTCACTCTTAAGTGTATCTGATTAAAAATTCCACATCACTTCTATGTGCTTTTAATCCATATTGGAGTATCAGGGTAATCAATAATATTATTGTAGACCATTAGATCTATGCTTTTTGTAAGCATAGACCTTCTATTGTTCCTATACTGCTGTGGACATGCGAGATGGTGTATAGCATGTCACTAATAACAGAGCAGTATCAGGTAGTCTGTGAAAAGTAATTAAACCTGAAAGGGAGGACTGACTGTTGAAAGAAGAGAGCAGGATTAAAATCCAGAATTAATAGCTTTATGTGACTCTCTCCATATAATCTAAGGCAAGTGACTTAACCACCTTCTGCCTAAGTTTCCCACCAGCACTGTAAACTGTATGTACCTGCCTTCAAGAAAGCTGTGATGGGTATTTATGCTGTAAAGCAGAGTGGGGGCTCAGAGGGAACCAGCTTTAGAACAGCTGAGCTTTGTTACTAAAATTCTCGAGCGTGTTTCATCTCCAGGGCCAGACACCAAACTAATGCAGAACAGTGGAAAAACAACTTTTAAACGGACGAGCATTGATCGGCTCATGAATGTCCTTGTGTTGGTGGTAAGTCTGATTAATGCGTCTTCATTTCTTCAGATGTATTCATCATTTCCAGATGCTCCACCTCTTTGTCCACTCAAGTGAGGGAATATCAGAAGCAACTAACGATAAAAAGAAAAATTATGTAATAATTTATTAGATGCCTGAGTTCTGCAGCACCTCTGCAGCCCATCTAGCAAAGCAAGGTCATTACACTGACAGCATTAAGGACCTTTCTTCTGAGCTTTTCATTTGCTTTGCTCTCCCTTGCTCTGCATTTTTTCATGAGAATCACTTTGAAGCCTGCAGACACCTTTTTTACCCTAGTAATTTTGTAGTTTTCTATTTAAATAAACATTAGCAGTTCTCCTTCTTCTTCCTGATTCCTTGGCATCTCTGGTGATATCTGCATAGGAATTGGTAATTGAGTTTGTTAACTTGCATGATGCCAGCTTCTGACTTAACACATTAGGGTAAAATATTAGACATGGTCTCATTAATACTCAGAAACTGGTGTTTTTAGCAGCTGGGAGATCTGAGGATGCTAATCTTGTATAGCAAACACTCTCCTCAAATTAGAAAACAGATCTGATTTGAGGTTTAAGCTTATCAGTGGTTTTAACAAATGGCAAACTCTTCCAGGCAGAGGTAGTGATTACAGGGACTCTCCCAAGATTTTACTGCTTGAGTTCAAAGCCGTGCAAGGAAGGGACTATTTTGGTTGTTACCGCTGTTCTGCGGAGACATACACCCTAACACTTTACCCAATGGTGCTTGAAGGAAAGCTTTTTATGCTGGTCTGCGGAGACATACACCCTAACACTTCTTTACCCAATGGTGCTTGAAGGAAAGCTTTTTAGTTTCAGGCTTTTATTTTCCTCTGAATGCAAGTTTTTCATGCTTTTTCATGCATGCTGCACCGCCTTCAGTTTATGACACTGGGAGGGTCTGGCCACTCCTGTACCTTCCCAGCAGTGCCCGCTGTTCCCTCTTCTTACCTCCTGCTCTTGCTCTCCAGCCCAACCCGAGAGCCAGGCTGGGATCAAGATCCATCCCCAGGCGCTGGAGCAAGCCCTAGGGAAGGTGTCCGGCAGCAGCCCACCCATCACAGCAAGGCTGCCCTGTGCTCTTGCTGCCCTGCATGACTCCATGCCTCCTCGGCACTGGGGCTGATAGCACAAACATCTCCAAGACTGCCCCACTCTCCAGACGTGCTGTTTCATCAGAGCCCCTGTCCTCCTGCTTTCTTCTTGGGATCCCAAAAGCTCTTTACCTGGGCTCCGGGATGGGAGATGCTACAGAGCAGGTTGTGCCTCTGTGAGACTGAAATCATACCAAAGGCCAGCTCTAGAGCTGTGAAGCAGTGTTCTGAACACCTGCACGTGCATATTTGCTGTAAAGCAGTGCCACAGCGCAGAAAGCTACTACAGGGTGATCTGCAAGCCCTCTTGAGTCCTTGTTCCATACACAGTAAGGACATGCCCTTGACTTTAGTAACCTTACACCAATCTCTGCCAAGTGAAAACCTTAATTACCATCATCAGCTTGTTTTCCTCCGTGTTTTCTTCCCTCACGCCTAAGGAGACAGCAAATTCAAGCAAGGTTTGGGCCTCTTACATTCAAAATTTTGTAAGCATTTGAAACCCTTCACATTTTTTTAGGTGTTCTGCTATGTTACAGATGGAAAGGATGAGAGACTGTGGGGTAGGGCTGTGGGGGAGCGACAGGGCACAGAAACGGAGCAGAGAAAAACTGAATAGGGAACTCAGAATTTAGCATTTGATTAAGGTTTGCAAAGTCTCCTTTCCCCAGGCAAGGGTCCCACCCAGAGCTTCAGTCTGTTTGGCCTCTCTTCATGAACACGAATGAGATGAATTTACCTCCTGGCTCCGTTTTAAAAGGCTGAGCAAGTTGCAGTTGATTGCATCAGCCTCTGCCTGGGTTCTTGGGTGCTGATGGAGTCAAGGGTGTGTTTTTCTCCTTCATACATTTTTAAGGCACCTAACATTTTGGTGTCTTAAGTAAAGCCCTGTCCTACCCTAAGCACCAGGCGCTTTGCACACCCAAGGGGATGTGGCATCAGGTCCTTCCAGCTTGCTGGGTGGTCAAAGGTTACAAAGCATAGTCATTAGAAAAGGCAGCATATTGTGCTCTCGAGTTTGGAAATACAAAGTGGCCACAGCTTGCTATAAATAGGTCATTTTAAGTGTAATGAAACTTGTTTCATATTAACACTGGCAAAATTATTTCATCTTCAATTGTCCACAAACTTCCAGGCACAAAGCAGCTTTTAAGCAGGGCTTGCCAATGGAGTTCTGGTTAAATGTTACCCTGGTCTGCCCCAACAAGGGTTAATCAGGAGCAAACCTTTCCAGACGGCAACCACATCTGTTTTTTTACATTTGGGAGTGTTTCTCGGGGATCTGAGAGAGAAGTGAGTGTTCCTCCACTGGGGATGCACTCGCCAGCTCCAGGAATGCTTTTTCCTCCAAAACTTGCTTTTTAGCAGGTTTGAGGAAGCATGTTTTCAGAGAAATAGGGCTGTCGCCTTCCTCTCTCTAAAAACTTACTGTTTCAAATCCTGGTGCAGAGCTCAAGGTGCTGATGAAGAAACCGAGGCAGTTTGAATTCACAGTTCTACAGGAAACGTTTGTCAAAAGTCACCTCCCCTTTGCAAAAATCCTGCTCAGTCCTGCAGAGGACCTCCCGCAGGCAGTGCATGGGCAGGACCCAGAGAGAGAGGATGTTCATGCTGGGAAGCCCCATGAGCATGCACAAGCCTACGATCAGGGTTTTTTCACGTCCTTCTCTTGCAGATCTGTGGTTACAATTACAACACACCACACACAGTTTTTTCTCTGTACAGAAACTAATCTCCAGGGCTGCTGTTAATGGCTCGGTCTTTTGCATTTGTCTGAAAGCAACCAGCATGTTAGAGAACTTTGTGTAAGCGTAAGTATTACACGCAAGTTGAGCTGTTAGCGATGAGACCATTGACATGCAAAATGCACATAAAGCAAAATGCACATAAAGCAAGTGCAGTCACAGACAAGTGCTCCTGTGATATGAGGAGTTCAGCTGCTGTCTTGCCCTGTGTGTATTTCTGTTGCTGAATCATATGTTGAATTTCCTACATGGATTGTGATATTCTGCAATCTGACAATTTTTAACCCATGGGGCTGAGCGGAATCAATCAGGCTACAGTGGCAAGATAGAAGAGCCAGCTGGCTCTTCTAAGTAATTTCTTTTACAGCAGACAAGGTCTGCAGACAGAAGCATTATCTTTTACTTGACCGGCAGAAATATATATAAAAATAGACAGGCTTGTCTATTTTCTCTGTCTATGTCTGTTCATTTAATAAAGGACATTACCTGTCCCTGGGTCATGCCTCTCATATATCCTCAAATCCTGATGATTAAAACAGCACAAACTGAACTTTTTTTTTACTGCTGGTCAGAGAGGTTTAAAAACAGCGCACCACATTCCTTACCAGCAAGCCATACACAAGTGGAGTAATTTATTGGGCCTCCCACGATTAAATAGCAAGGTTAGTACTGGTGTGGGAAATAAATATGTCCCCTGAAACTCAGCCTTTACTTACTGCAGTCCCCTTTTTAGCAGTTTCTTGGTATTAAAATCCAAGTTGGACGTATATGAACTTTTCATCAAGTGATTTAAATCACTCCATGAAAGTATCCTTCCTCCTCTCATAGATTATCTCAGCAATACAACTATCAGCTTTATCAGCAGTGTTTCTATGTTTGTACCTCAGTTATTGCTTTTTAAAAACGTTGATTACTGTTGTAATGTGATTGTTACTGGGTGGTCTTACACATAATGGCCCAACTTACTGATGTTTCCTCCCTAACGACCACACTTGCAAGAGACAATTTTTAATTGCTGTGTTGTGCAGCCTGATGATCCCATATCTTCACATTTTTATGAGGATGCTGGTTGGTTTAAGTCAAATATTTGGAGAAGTCCATATCAACAGAACTGGTTTTATTATCATTTGTCCAAGAATGATGTCAAGCTAACTTCAGTTTATCTTTCCCTTGATCACCATTTCTGCTTTTCAAATATTGGAATCGTTATTAGCAGATTTTTAGTATGGTGGAGCTTCCCAGTTCTCAAAGCACTGTTAAAAATTAACCTTACTGGTTAAGAGAATTTCTCAGCTAGTTCCTCTAAGCTTTCATCTTTAAATTACCTGGACCCACTGGACTGAAAACGCTTATTATTAGCAGATCAAGCCACATAGTGTTCCTTGTCACAGAAGGTAATCTGTCTTTTCCATCTGCTACATCATATGGGATAGAAACTTCCTTCTGCTTCCTTCCTCCTTCATTATTGGAGGACTGTCTGTTGAGCATGTCTGCTTTTCCCACACCTGTTTATGAGTTTACTGTTTTCTTTTCTTGATATTTTGTATGACTATTAGATATTCAGAGTTCTGTAACTCCTTGCAGTTTATATTCATTGCTGTTAAGTTCCCCTTCTTTCCCTTCTTTTTGCATTCTTTTCTAAATAATCGTATTGCTATGTTCTTGTCTTCTTTTAATCAAAAATGATTCATGACCTATGTATTCGGTTTGTGTCTACTAAATGGTGTTCCTGAGCCGGTCCCAGTTTTCACTAAGGTGTCCCACTTTGAAATTCTCTTCCCAGTTGCTCTTCCCCTGGTTGCTTTAGGCTTCAGGAAATAGGCTTCTCTAAAGTCCAAGGATTCACATCATTGGTTAGTGCTGCTTTCTGTTTGCTCAAAGAAAATGTAATCAGATTGTGATGGCAGGTACCAAGGCAACGATTAGCTCTGAGTCAGTGATTAACTCTCCTTTAACCATCAGAATGATATCCAGTGTTGAATTCCAACCTGCACAGTGCTGGATTTTCTGTGGTACAAATTACCTTTAGCAGTTTTTCAGAAATGGCAAGGAAACGGTGATGCATCCAGCAAATCACCAGGTAGAGTCTGCCAGGCAGCTTCTATTCCCAAGTGTGCAGCCAGATGTTTGAGGACCTGCAACTCAACTCACGTATGATGAGATTTGATGTTCTTCAGCCAGCTGCCCATAAGCACCCTTGTTTAGGTGTCTGCTTGGGACTTAAATTCCCAGCTGCTTGAAGTCTTGTGATTCCAAATTGCCAGTCTCTGCACTGTATAATTTTGTCCATGTGTCTTAACTTTGCTCATTTTCCTCCTTCACCCCTAGGAACATTTTCCTGTGATTCTGGCTGTCCAACCCAATCTTATTAGGGTCTTCTGATTAACCTGTACATAATAATTTCCTTATTTCTAAACTGCAATATTCTTGGGTTTTTTTGCAGATCTTTGCATTTTTAGCACTGATGTGCCTTATCCTAGCCATTGGCAATGGCATCTGGGAGTATGATACGGGCTACTACTTCCAGGTCTATCTGCCTTGGGCTGAAGGCATCAACTCTGCTGCCTACTCCGGCTTCCTCATGTTCTGGTCATACGTGATCATTCTAAACACAGTGGTGCCAATTTCGCTCTATGTCAGGTATGTGCCAGAACCTCCTTTCATGTTTCATCTTAGGAGAGGTTTAGATTTTGCTTTAGCTGGGAGCAGCGCTTTCCCTAGACACAAATGCAACCCCATTGTGGACAATCACATACAACCGCAGCGATGCTTTTCTTATTTCTGTTGCCTTCAGAGGTCTTTGTCAGGGTTGGAGCAGGGACAGCAGCAAGCCCTGAAAGAGGAGAGGGTGATGTTGCAGTTAAGGGGGGGGTATAAGTGTAGGATGCTATAGGAGTAAGGCTGGAAGCCTGCTACCAGTAAGGTCTTGCTCTCTCCCGCTTGCACTGCCCATCAAACAAAGTGACTGGCATGTTCTTTGAGGTGGCCGTAGGGCTCACTCAAGGAGTGGACTGCCAGGTAAGTAGGTGTAATCAGGTTGAAGATCCATAGTACTTGGTGCTACATGAGCAGAGTGAATGTTGCCATTTCCCAGAGAACACAGTGCTATGTTGGTAACTGCAGACAGGCAAGCAGGGCTAAAGAGTGGGCAATGTGTCCGTGACACTCTCAAAACCTTGAGGTTGGGGTGTAGGCCAAGTAGACCTCTATAGTTTATCACTGCGCCTAATTCAGACAGCTTTGCTACTGAGACTCTCTTTTGTGCTGGTAAACATGAGGAATTAATCCCGTTCCTGTCCAGTATGTCACACCAGCAGCAAACTGGAAATTCATGACGTCTGCAAGCCGATACAGCTCCTTGGTTGTATTGAATTACACAATGACTCTCTTGTTGTGGAGCTCTGGGTTGTTTGAACTGTGGCTGTGCTCATCCCCTGGCACTGGGCTCAGCCCAGCCCAGAGCCCTGCTGGAAACCAGCCCTGTCTGAGCACCGCTCCTGAAACTGCACCAAGGGAAACCCACAAGCTTTGCAGTCTGAAAACTTCTGAAACTTCGCAAATACGTTTATAAAATGTTCTCTTATAAATAAAGGAAAGGAATTTCTTATAAACCTAACAGATGTTACAGCAGGACATGCTTCAGCATTACTTACTACAGGCTATTTAAGGGCAACCTGATGAGTACACCCTGTCATTACCTTCAAAGTTGTCTTCTAATTGCAATCGCTAATGGTGGTGGTGAAGATAAAGATCTTGTCTCTTAAACTAATGAATATTCCATGACCTTCTCTTTCCGTTTCACCAGTGTAGAGATTATACGCTTGGGTAACAGTTTCTACATTGACTGGGACCGTAAAATGTATTATCCACTGAATGACACACCAGCTCAGGCTCGTACCACTACACTCAATGAGGAGCTGGGGCAGATCAAGTATATCTTCTCAGACAAGACAGGAACTCTCACTCAGAACATCATGTGTTTCAACAAGTGCTCCATCAATGGCAAATCCTATGGTATGTGATCTATTTGTCTTATTTTCCGAGTTTTATTCCATTGTATGCCTCTTGGTCCACAGAGACTAAATGTGATACCCAGAAGAGAGTGTCTGTAAGAAGCTGCAGGGATGAAGTGCAGGGCTGCCCGTCAGGGATGCTTGAACAGCCCTGATTACATAAGTTGCATATCTAAATATCATTTTCCTGTGCCTTGTTTCCCCTCTTTGCCACCCTTTTACCTCCCTTTTTCTGCCCCAGTATCATTCCAGCTAAAGAACCTGCACCTTATTACTGGTCCCAGTACTCAAATTTGGTTTTTTCTGATACCACTGCCTCAGTAACCTCAACCTTTTATGGTAATATTGACAGCATTACCCAGGTTACCCTGCAAAGCATAACACGTAACTCACTTAACTAACTCCCCCTTAACCACTTGTGAAAGCAGCCATCCCTCATGGGGTTATCTGAAAATTTTGTCAGCTTCTCACACTGTTATCTCTCACATTCAGCAATTTCTCATGTCATGAGTAGCAGTTTTCCACATCCTGTTCAGGTAGCTGAACCATTGGTTGGCACCTAGTTGATGGCCCGGACATTTGTCTGCAGCCCTGACATACTTCACCTGCCAGAAGAGAGAGAATTTTGTAGGGAGTTGGGGAAAATGGGAAACAAAAGTTGTTAGCTCTGTTAGATCCTAACGGTCATTGACTTAAAAGGCTCTTTCGGTGTATGGCCCCGGGCAATTTTCTTCACACTGCTCAAGAGGTGCTGACAATTCACAAACTGACTAATTGATTAACATCATTAGATTCCCCCAGAGAAATTAGTCACCGCTTATTCCTAGATTGATGTTTGTTTTGCCTGTGTCAGACCTGCTGATGGACCAAAAAGCTTGTCTTTTTTCCTCAGTGCTATCAGCTGGCCTAATGAAAGAAGTTCTTTCTTCCTATAAATCTTGGTTTGTGTATATTTGGAGACCACCATATCTCAAACAGCACTACTATGCTAGCCAACGTTAGAGCTGCTAAACAGTTTGAAAAATATCCAGTCTGTTCATTCATGTGTCCTCAGCTGACTTTTCCAAAGTGGATGTCACCACTAACATAGATATAGGGTGTGGATTCAAGAAATGAATGGGAAAGAAGGTGGACAGCCTATTGCCTATAGTTTTCTAAATGCTTCGCTTCTTCCTAGGAATAGACTTCTTTGTATTTGCTGCTCAGGAGCATTTGGGAAAGCCATGCCAGAAACAATGAATTTGTTTTGCTGCCAGGGAAGTTACTCCGGACGCTTAAGCTTCCCATTGGGAAGGAGCTGTCTAAAAGCCTGCCAGTTACAGTTCCCAGGGGATCAACTGGCATGCAGTTCTCAGGAGAGTTAACTTCTGAGTTTCTTCTACATGCTCAGGGCTTTTGTGAGGGACTAGCAGTACCTACAATTGACTTTGGTCACAGTTGAGGTTGCTGGTGCTGGTGCGGATCTATCATTCATGTAATTCACTGTATTTCAACCTTATTTCAATGAAGTGTTGAACCTGGCTGGGCTGGGCACAGTTCAGACCTTCCAAGTGAAACTCTTCTTCAAGCAGAAGAAGTTTCAGTAGTGTTTCCTGGAGATGAGATGTCTTCCATTTCCGTGCCTAGATCATTAGTTCAGGGGAAATGAATGGAGCAGCCTCGCTACCTAGACATGGGAAGAATGGGCTTTGACAACTCCTTCTCTGTGGTTGCCCAGGGACTGTTGCAAACCCAGTATGATCCAGGAGCTGGATTTTGTCTCACATTCCAAAGGGAAGGCACAAGAGAAGTCACCCCCTGAAAGCACCTTTGTTTCCTACCTAGCACTATGTCCTTTCTGGGTTCAGCTTGACCCAAGTCTTTCTTACCCAAATGCCAGTCGTTTTTGTGGTAACTGCTTTGTGTTTCAAGCAGCTGTCAGTCTCTGGGTTTTGTCATGGATTAACATAGAAACTGATTGATACGAACCATCAGTCTCTGGTGGCCATGTCAAGATATTTATGCTTACTGAAACTTTTTAGTTAGATACTAGCTTCAAAACACTTTAACCTGTTTTTGTGGTAGAGAAGCTCAGAGACTGCACTTACCGGGAGTCTGTGGCTATAACCTCAGTCTTTCTTGCTTGCAGGTGATGTGTATGATATGGCTGGGCAAAGGATAGAAATAAATGAGGTAAGTGCTCAAGTGCTGTCAGGATCTGTACCTGGCTAAGTGCTAGTGGACACAACCTACCCAGGCATAGCTCATGCTCTTGACCCTGAAAGAGCTGATGTTTTGACCCTGACAACAGGGATGTGTGTTCTTATGGATGTCAGAGGACTTCCAGAGCTGCATTCCCTTCTGGTAAGCCTGGTTTAAACCTGCAGGTTTGGTAGCCTGAGTGCCCACTGTTCCCTCAGCTTCACGTGACATCTTGAGTACTTGGCCATTGATGTTTGTTGGAAACCTGGACACTGGTGAATTTTATGATTCTTGGCAGTTAATTAAAGCTTTGTTGGGGAATTAGTGAGTTCAGTTCATATTGATAACAAGGTCACTCTCAAACTCCTCTAATGTCTGGACATTGGAAAGTGTGAAAATGGGTGAATTCTCCACCTCTGCTTGCTGGCACAAACTCACATCTCTTGGATTTCTAAAATGTCTGAAAACTGCATGCAGTAATCCAAGTAACAAATGGCAATACGATGATGAAAATCCCACTCCTTGTTCCAATGATTCATTTCCAGGCCATTTAAAACTTAAATTACTCCCTGAAATTGGCTATTTGTGCTGAGTGCGGTGCCTCCAGGCTGCCCTCACTTAGGCAGCAAAAGGCAAAGGGCTGACTTGCTTGGGGAGACAGGCTGGTCTCCAGCCAAGTGGCTGGCCAGCAGCTCCTCCTGCCCACGATGCTTGCAGGAGCAGAGTCCTGCTGCCCACATCCATGGTGTTGGAATGCCCGGACCTTGCTGTGCAGATGAGTGTGTGTGTGGGGTGGGTCTGTGCTCTTGCGGTGTGAGCTAAATGTCAGCTTGCAGAGGTCAAAAGGATGACTCCCATCCTGGAAACTCTAAGCTCATCAGGGATAGGGCGGGAGTCAGAATCGTCCCGGGCAGACTCGGCAGTACATTCCTCCATGACACATCATGCTGTGAGCTTCTGGCCATTTTTCCAGTACGTTCCTCTCTTCTTGGAGCTCCTTGTTTTTAGACAAAACAGGCAATGCCTGTGGACTTGAACCTTTGCATCACTTGTCTGTCATCTTTTTTCCATATCAGGATTTTTTCTTGCTTTGGGAGAACAAGGTGGAGAACACAGCCTTTTGAATTGTTTTAAACTGGGCTTCTACATTCCCTAATCACAGGCAGCTATTGACGTCAGGAGCATGGTGCCTCCAAGCAGGCATGTGTTGAAGGCAGGCATTTCTTTGCTATAAAAATCCTTTGGCAGGGATCCTGCAGGAGCATTTGCTGTCATACAGAGAGGCATCTTTAGATAATCAGGTTCTCAGCCTGAGTGCTGCTCTGAAAGGCACCTCAAGTGCCTGTCCTCTCCTGTGGTTCAGTAGCTTTCATGACCTTGCACTTCCTTAAACACACCAATCTTTGTCATAAACAGCCCTGCAGGAGAGGGCCCTTTGTAACTGTAAGGAAGAGAGAGGGGCTATGATGGACAGGCATTGGTATACAGGCATGTGAGACCTCCACAAATAACACCAAGCCATATTTTTGCAGAACACGGAGAAGGTTGATTTCTCATACAACCCATTAGCCGACCCGAAGTTTGCCTTCTATGACCACAGCCTGGTTGAAGCTGTGAAGCTAAATGATGTCCCGACGCACAGGTTCTTCCGGCTGCTCTCACTTTGTCACACAGTGATGCCAGAAGAGAAGAAGGAAGGTGAGAACTGTTGAAGGCACCAGGCTGAGTGGTTATGCACCACAGTATGTCTTCTCTCCACAGAAGCTGTTATTGGTCCTTTTGGCTCCCTGGTGACTTTCTGTAGCATATGGCTATGCATAAATCAGTGTCTTTGGAGATGCCACATGGGAAGAGAAAGGACCAGGGCCTCCACTCCCTGTGTGTTCCTGTGGTGGAGCTAACGCTACTGCAAACACCACATCTCTGGAGTGCAGAAATTGCAGGTGCCACAGCTTCCCTGAAGTGGCAGATGGCTTGTCCCACTCTTTCTCTACTCTGCACCAGGTTCCATAAAGCAAAGAGCATAGAGCACCTATCCACTGGAGACTCATTAGCTCCACTCACCCAGTGCACCCCCAGGGACTGGGTCAGTCTCCTCAAATCCCAGACAGCGTGAAAACTGTGCTTTAAAGGCCACGAACCATTAATTGACATATACAAGGTGAAAACACTGATGAGAAAAATACATGCAGATGTAACTAGAAGGGGTTAAACCCAAGGAAGTTTTCCACTCACTGAGATCTGTTGGACTCCAAAGAGAGTGACCCCAAAAGAGTCTAGGAAGCCTCTTGCACTGGCCTGTAGGACGGGTTGATGGGACTGGACATAAGGTGCTTTTTAGTGCTGCACCTCTGATGATAGACAGAAAAGCAAAGGGTTAACTCCTATATAACGTCTTTGAGCTTGTATTTGTTTAGCCTCAGAAAGAAGGCAGAAGCCCCATTACTTTCTTTTTTTTCTTGCATGTCAGGTAACTTGGTGTATCAGGCCCAATCTCCTGACGAGGGAGCCCTTGTCACTGCTGCCAGAAACTTTGGATTTGTGTTCCGGGCTCGCACACCAGAGACCATCACTGTTGTGGAAATGGGAGAAACGAAAATCTACCAACTCCTGGCTATCCTTGATTTCAACAACGTTCGCAAGCGAATGTCTGTTATTGGTATGTATTGGTATCCCTTCTTTCCTTCCTGACTTTTTAGGCTGTCAAGTTGGCCCTCATTCTGCTGCAATGCCTTTTCCTAAGAGATCTCCTTTGCAATGCTTCCTGAATAACATTTACTTCTGAGCACTTGAGCTGGACTGCCTTGACTTTTCAATTTCACAGCAACAGCGCTAGATAAATACTTAACTTGGGCAAGTGGGAGAACATCTTAACATCTGGACCACTATGATGGAGCAGCCCCCTGAAGACACTAAGCCTTTTATATATCTTACTTCCCTCATGACAATGCAGGAAAGGCATTCCTTCTAATGAGCTTTAAAATTATCAGCAAAATCTGAGAAAGTGGGAAAGAAAAAGCAAGGATGAGTAGAGAAGCCCACTTTCCTGAAAGGAAAATGGAGAAATGATTCAAGAAACCTCATGTAGTTGATATTAACTCTCCATCATCCTCAGATATTTCAGGAATTGGAATATCATAACTGCAGCAAGAGAGTGGTAGTACCTTTGTAGTACCTTCCCCCCCTGCAGGGGGAAACTGCACCAGCAACGCATAGTGGGTACCGTAAGCAGAAGCGACGAGTCCTCGTAATAGGTGACTCTCTGTTGAAGGGTACAGAGGGACCCATCTGCCAACCTGACAGAGAGTCACGTGAGGTATGTTGCCTTCCGGGAGCCAAGGTTCGAGATGTGGCTGAGAGGATGCCACAACTCATCAGGAGAACGGACTACTATCCTCTACTACTATTTCACGTAGGAACAAATGATACGGAAAGCAGAAACCTGAGCAAAATCAAAGAAGACTTTAGAGCCCTGGGGGTACAAGTGAAAAACATTGGGGCCCAGGTTATCTTTTCCTCCATCTTACCAGTCCAAGGGAAGGGAGCGGCCAGATACAGGCGCATAATGTACGTTAACTCCTGGCTACGTGACTGGTGCCGTCGTGAGGGTTTCGGCTTTTATGACAATGGGACATTCTTTGGCGACTGCAACCTGTTAGGGAGAGATGGGGTCCACCTCTCTAGGCGCGGCAGGGGAATCCTAGGCAGTAGGTTGGCCAAACCAAAACATTCTATGAAACAAACATTATATTGTAGGAAAAGAAAGGGTTAAGAGGCTACAGAGAAGTTGTGGGGCAGTTTCTCTCCCAGAGGTCTCCAGTGTTTCCAGAAACAGATTCACTCGCCTCTGTCACTTTTCCCCCAGAAGGTCTCATGTTCACTGCAACATGGTTCGTATAATGTCAGTATGTCCGTGAGTCTTCCTTTTCACACTCAGAGAGGAAGAAACATGCAGCATCAACCCCATGTAAGTTATATCAAGTTATTAACATGATAAATTCAAGTTCTCTAAAGTCAGGCCATCTGCATAAAAGTTTGAGATGGTGCTCCTGCATGTATAATATATTCTATTATTCATTATTATAATCAAGCACAATTGTACTATGCTTTCATAGGTCTTCTGCTTCATTAAGTCACAAAATCAACAAAGCTATTAGTACTTTAACTCCTCATTTTTCAATTTGTGGCCCATTTGTTAGTGACGATTCCAACCTGGTGTGAAGGAAAAATTTCTAGTAATTAATGACTTTTCAGTGGTGCTACACCCTGTCCTGGATACAGATTAATTTTCTGAAAGCTGGACAGAGAAGTGTGGAATAATCTGCCTTTTACAAATGTAGAACCAATACAAAGGGCAAGTAAAAGCAATGTACCCCTACATGTTCACCATCTAACTGAGATTTATAGCGCCTGTTTTTTACTTGTGCTTTTAAATGTACAAACTGCAGGTCCCAGTGATACTAGTCAGACAAGTGTGGTCAGACTTATGCAAACCAAAAAACCAAGAAAAAACCCACTGTTGGAAATCAGATTTTTTTTTTTTTGCGCCATAATAAGATGCACACAGTAAAAGAATAACTGGGAAAAGAAAGTGGTTTAAGTGACTTACCAGGTAGAATTAATCATGTGATGAGAAATGGCAACAGCAAGACATCCTGGTAAGGAGAGCCCAGGGATTCATCCACAGACTGTCATCCACAGTGATGAACGTTATGAACAAGATGTATAAAAGGGTCAGGGCAGCAGAGAAGGGGCTGAGATCTGTGATCCCAAGGAAGCACTGAACCACTTCCAGATGTTAATTTTATAAGCAAGAACCAAGCAGCGGATCTCACTGTCACAATGTATCAGAGGAATAATTCAGAGTAAAGACAGTGGAGATGGGCCTGGGGTACAAGTTACCTGGAAGGAATGTAAGGCATGCTGGAAAAACAACACCCAGAGAAGAACTGTAGCACACATAACCAATAGTTTACCCTTGTATTTAAATGGAGTCTATTTAAAAACTGTCTTGTGCTTCTAGATTTTTCAGATTGTCATGCTATCGAGCTTCCTTTTATATTTATACTGGACTAAACAAAAACTCTACTTTTTGTGACTGAAAAGCTGTAGCTTTGTATGCAACATCCTCACAGACTATACTGCCTTGAAAAAAGAGCATGGGGGGTTTTTTTGTCTTTAGGAAATTGCACTACTTAAATCTACACTCTTTAAATTTCTCTACTGAGTGAATTATTAGATTACTTTCAAATATTGAAGCTGAAACAAGCATAAAAGTCTTGAGAGTTTTTCAGGGAGTGTTTAGAATTTCAGGCAGTTTTTCAGTCAGATTGAAGGCAACAACTCAGTGCTTATTATTGTGAACACAATATTTATCATTTGGCCTTTTTGGGATTATCTCTGAACTCTGTGCATCTGAACTGTAACTGCTCAACACTGTAATTCAGGTAATTGAACAAAAAAAATGTGAAATAGTTCTTTTTTGAAAAGGAGTAGTCCTCCCATCACTGATTTTCTAGTGATGGAGTGTCATTGGTGCTTTATTCTCCTTTATGTGAACTCAGATAGAAGATAACAGTTTTATGGCTCCAAATTTATTTCCCTTTTATTTCTAGCAAGCAAGACAAGAGAACTGACCATCTGAAGTCATAACATATGAAAAGGAAGAGTAAAAATCTGAGATTGTTCTGTGTCACGAATTTAAATGACCAAAATATGAAAAACAAAGTGTGGCTTTTTGTGAGAAGAAATGATAGTTTCCTTATGATTCTCCCTCCCATCCATCCACACTTTTCTGTTGAAGTGTATTCAGTCTTAATTAATTATGGATTATTATATTTACACATAAAATTTGCTCTATTATTTAAGTCTGTAGCAGTTTGCCATTAAACGTAACGTGGAATGATAAATAGACAGCAATTCCATTAAATTTCTCCAATGAATATGTTAGATTATGAAGTGGAAGCTCCTTCTTCAGTCAATGACATTAAATATGATGGTGCAAATGAACACAATAGACATTTCCATATTTTTCAAATATATCACAAATTAAATGTAAAAACCCAGAGTAATTGAATCCGTGAGGAAAGATAGATACAATACAGCATAAGGCAGCAACAAGAAACTATGGAGCTGAAAAAGCACCTCTGAAAATATGAGGAGAAAGCACCAATATGTGCAAGACTTGCATTTCCTACATGCACAGGATAGAACAGCCTCTGCTAGGTGGTATCTGTCCAGGTGGAGGTGACTCTGTCTTCTCCCGCAGTGAAAACACAGCCTTGGTCAGTGGTTGGGTCCAGCCTCCTGAAGCTCATAACTCTGCTGCACCCCCAGCCCTACGAAATCACTGTTTACAAAAATCTGTGACTATGTATGCTTTGGTGGGGACATGTGAAAAAAGATGAAAAAACCCAGGGCCAAGTCAAGTTGGTCTTTGGGAGATACAGTTATTAGGAATCATAGAACCCCTTGGATTGGGAGGGCTCTGGGGGAAGCCACCTCGTCTTGCCTGCCAGCACCCCAATGCTTTTTGGCTGAGCTGCTCCAACCAGTGGGTCCACAACCCCATCTTGATGCTTGGGGGCTATTCCAGCTCAGGGACAGGACAGTGTCTTTGTGTTTGCTGAACTTCAGGAGGTTCCTCTTGGCCCGTTCCTCTGTCTCATCCAGGGTACCTCTGAAGACTAATCCTGCCATCAAGGCCGTGAACTGCTTCCCCCCCCTCTGGGTTACCATTACCCGCCGACTTGCTGACGTGCCTTCCGCCCCTTGTGCTGGTAACTGATGATGCTGATGCTGAACAGGATCGGCCCTGACGTTGTTCCTTGAGCAATGCCACCTCTGCTGAGAGGGACCTGGGAGTCCTGGGGGGCAATAAGCTGACCATGAGCCAGCAATGTGCCCTTGTTGCCAAGAAGGCCAATGGTATCCTGGGGTGTATTAAGAGGAGTGTGGCCAGCAGGTCGAGGGAGGTTCTCCTCCCCCTCTACTCTGCCCTGGTGAGACCCCACCTGGAGTACTGTGTCCAGTTCTGGGCTCCCCAGTTCAAGAAAGACGAGGAACTCCTAGAAAGAGTCCAGAGGAGAGCTACTAGGATGATAAAGGGACTGGAGCATCTCCCCTACGAGGAAAGGCTGAGAGAGTTGGGCTTGTTCAGCCTGAAGAAGAGAAGACTGAGAGGGGATCTCATCAACGCATACAAATATCTTAAGGGCGGAAGTCAAGAGGACGGAAGCAGTCTGTTTGCAGTGGTGTCCAGCGACAGGACTAGGGGCAATGGATGCAAACTGAAACACGAGAGGGTTCAGTTGAATATGAGGAAGAACTTCTTCACTCTGAGGGTGGCAGAGCACTGGAACAGGCTGCCCAGGGAGGTTGTGGAGTCTCCTTCTCTGGAGATATTCAAAGCCCGCCTGGATGAAGTCCTGTGTAGCATGCTCTAGGTGAGCCTGCTTTAGCAGGGGGGTTGGACTAGATGATCTCCTGAGGTCCCTTCCAACCCTTACGATTCTGTGATTCTGTGAAATAAGAGCAGCAGGACCAGTTCCCTATGAACAAATTGTTCTTGACTTTTGAGTGCAGATGTCCTGCCTGAAGTGCTGCCTGTGGGAACCACATAGTCCAACAGAACATCTGCTCAGACCAATGCAATCTGGGTACAGTTGCCTGTGCTGCTACCACTAAGTTTGCATTATCTTCTTTTCTAGGAAGAGCTTATCTCGATTCCTGTGACTTTGCCAAAACTTGGTGGAGTTTGAACACTTCTAAAAACCTTTCTTTCTTTTGACGGAAGTGCTGTGAATCCCAAGTGCATCTGTCTGGTATATGTACCATTTCTTTTTCTCCTCCTCGTAGTGCGGAGTCCAGAAGGTGACTTGACTTTGTACTGCAAGGGGGCTGACACCATTCTTTATGAACTGCTTCATTCATCCTGCGACTCTCTCAAAGAGGAAACCACAGAACACCTGAACGTAAGTGTTTCCTTCTGCACAATGTCTCTTCATTTGATGGTTTCCTTTTCTCCAGGTGTGGAGATGTACTTTCTATTGAGACAAAGAACAGATTTCAGAAGAAGCACCCAAGCATTAGCTTTTTTATTTTTATTTATTTATTTATTCATCTTTAGGGAGTGGAGAGGGAAATAAATTTATAAAGCCTTAGGTCTCAAATCAGTTGCCTAAGCATGGCACCAGGTACCATCTCAACTGCTCGGATATCCAGCACATCTGGACACAGATGGCAAATACAATGCAGGACATTCAGAAGAGCTGTATTCCTCTGGAGTGGGAGCTGGAAGCCAGGCAGGATAGGTGAAACACCTGAAATGGCACAACACATCTGCGTTTTGGCAACTAAATTCCATCCAAGTCTGCTATTACTCTACAACGCATGCACCCAATGCATTCAAACTTGACTTGGATTGGAATAACTCAGGTGATCAGTATAGGGCCACTGAGCCGTTTACCTTCTTGAATACAATTCAGATCTGCAGTGATTATGGTCCAAGAGGTGTCAGTCAGAAGGGACTGGGCAGGCATTGGGACATACTCACCCTCCCTTCTTCCAAAACATATAGGGGCATATTGACTGGGCACCAAGGAAAATCGGTCACTCAAACTTGTGGGCTTTTATATTGTTGGTGGTGTGCACTGGGAGGTGGTTACTCACACAAGTGGATGTTTTGGCCAATATTTCTCCCCCATGGGATGCCAGATCCTACTGGTACAGTGCAGAGCACATGAGAACAGAAATTTTTGCCAGAGGGGCCGTGCAGTAGCACAAACATCTCTGCTCGCCTGGGGGAGCCAAAGAAAGTTGCTGGCAAAGGTGTGCAGTAGCACAAATATCTCTGCTCGCTGCCTGGGGGAGCCAAAGAAAGTTGCTGGCAAAGGAGAGGGCAGAGCAGAGCTGTGGATGTAGACTGTTCCTCATGCATCTTTACTTCAAGCCTGGGGGAACACCTCAGTTTTCACAAAGGGGTCTCTGTTATTCCACCAAATACAGGGAGACATACCGTCAAGCATACATCTGCAGAAAGCACAGTAACCAGGACTTGCCGAGATGTCATGATAGACTGTGCTCAGGCTGTGCATTTCAGCCAGTATTTGTACCCTAAAAATGTTGAGCCCAGGTCCAAAATTCAAGGCTGTGTTCAGTGTTTATTTAGGTCTCACTATTCTGAACCGTACTTTGAGAAATATGAACCTGGGAAACAACTGCCTGCTTAATGTAAAGCTTTAGAGACAGAAATAGGAAAGCTCTTTTGAATTTGTGCTGTATAACGACCATGAATGGCAATGATAAAGTGGTCTGGAACTAGTTTTTAAAAAGTACCCCACGGTTTGTGGTCTAAGTTGCAATTTTTTTACCTTTCCTCTGCGGCCTTTAGGTAAGAAGCTTTTACAAATAGCCATTTGCTTTCTGGGGGTCCTTTGTAAGCCCAGGTGAGCAGACTGTTCTTATTTTACCTATTCTGCCTCACCACTGTCTTGCAGGAGTTTGCTGGTGAGGGTCTGAGGACACTTGTGGTGGCCTATAAAAGCCTGGACGAAGACTACTTTCAGGACTGGATCAGGCGTCACCATGAAGCAAGCACTGCCTTGGAAGGACGGGAAGATAAATTGTCAGAGATATACGAAGAGATTGAAAAAGACCTAATGGTTGGTGTTTCAGGGAATCTGGGCCAAGCTCTGGGGGAGGCAGCGAGGATGGTGGTTTGTCAATAAACAGCTCAGTATGACTTCAGTAAACATTGCTTTGCAAACAGCTCAGTGGGTTGTGTGATGGGAGTGGATAGGAATATGGCAGTCCTGAGTTTTCACTGGCACCTCCGTCAGGAGCCCGTAACTGGGGTGTCAGCCACCTGTGCAGGGGAATGGTTTTATTTTAACTCACGTGGGTGTCAGAGTAGCTTTCTCGTGATGAAGTGGCATGCCAGAGCCTAAGGGAGATGACGTGGACACAAGTATTTCATAGCTGTCCTTTGTATGTGCAAATGTCTGGTTTATTTATTTTCCTGCCTTCGAAATGGCAGGCAGTGAATAATCCCCAGTGCCCCTCCATTTCAGACAGCATCTTCTTTGTTCCTGCAACCCTGGGAAGGATGGGGAGGTGATGTCCATGAACATGTTTGTGTCAGTTTGAAATAGGGCTAAACTGTGATCTTCAAGTCATTCTTCTCTCCCTGACTGTTGTTACAGCTTTTTGAATGCCCTGGGGGTGGGTGGAGGGGGGCATCTGCCTGTGTTTTAGAGCTGTGAATAATGAGTGAAAAGGATGTGTGGGATCTGAGGGGAAGAAATTCAGCTTTTGCACTCACAGCAGTGCTTTCCTGAAATCTCAGAAACCCTGGGAGTTGCACCATTGCTCCTTCCATTAGCTGTATGCTCAGGATGCCAGCAGGGCCTGGGAAGAAGCAAGTGTGAGCCGAGGAGATGGTGACCTCTGGAAGTTGCGTATCCATGGAGCAGATCCTACTGCCCTTCTGGGTCTCAGCAGAGTAGTGGAAAATGCTGATCCTCCAGTCCAGAGAATACATGGTGCGAACGCTCTATGGGTCATGTTCAAAGCGGGAAAGACATGGAGGTTTAGAAGGTTAAGGGGGCAGCTGCTTTGCAAGAAAGGCTTGTGAAGCTCATTGCCTGAGAAAAAGGGCATGGGCTCACAGAAGGAAGAAGTGTGGCTCAGAAGAAAGCAGTTTACACCAGACCCTTGTCTGTACAGGAATGACTTTACTTCCTGAAGGTGCTGTGGGAAGAACAGAGGGTGGGTGTAGGAAAGCCTGGCTTGTGACAGAGAACGGGTGTGAGAGCCAGAGTCAGCAAAGAATTAGATGGGTCTTGTGAAGGTGTAGAGAACTGCCAAGTATTGTAGTCTGGTTGATGAGCAAAAGTCCTTGTGTGTGGCAGGCTCCTGCTCGGGGCCCTTAGTGGGGAGTAAGGATACAAGGACACAACAGGGTGGAACATTAGAGTCAGAGAATAGCAGTAAAATACTGTTTATCATTGATTGACCTAAAAACTAGGGAAGATCCACAGTCAGTAAGGCACTACAACTGTCCCTCCAGCTGCTCTTACACCAGGTTGTGGGCAGACAGGCAAAGGCCTGTCAACAATACTATGGTGCCTTTCTGCAGCTCCAGAAAGACAATGGCTGGGGGGGATGCAAGCCCTTGTTCTCTCTTCCTGGGCACATTTGGCACCAGTGCCCACCCTTGGGCTTCCAGCTCAGATTCAGGCTGCCGAGGACAAGCAGGTGCCCCCAGGAGATGGCTGTGTATGCTACAAGCATTTGAGCTCTCACAAGCTGGACCAGGGACCACTGCTGTAAAACGTGTATTGTGCAGTTTTGAGGACCCTAGAGAGAAGTTCCATCAGAGCTGTTGTCTACCCTGATAACACTCATAGCTGATGAATGATGAACATCCCAGAAAGCCAGAAGGGATCTTGGGCTTAGAGCCAACCTCTGAATTTAGTTTCCCAACAGCAGGAGGTAGGTGGTAGCAGATGCCATCTAAACCTGAGCTAGCAGTGAAACCTTCACGTCCCTTTGATGATAGGTTAAAGCCACCAGGTATCTCCAAAATGCAGGAAAAGCAAAAACTTTGAAATAATGGTTTGTGTCTTGAGCGGTCTGTGGTTTAGTTGTGTGCCAGCGTGGAGCAGGGGTGGGGACAGGTCTGTTGTGGGCTGGAGAAGATCATAGAATCACTTTGGTTGGAAAAGACCTTTGAGATCATCAAGTCCAACCTTTAGCCTAACCCTGCCATTCCACCACTAAACCATGTCCCTAAGCACCTCATCTATCCTTCTTTTAAATACCTCCAGGGATGAGGACTCTACCAACTCCCTGGGCAGTCCATTCCAGAGCCTGACAGCCCTTTTGGTGAAGAAGTTTTTCCTAATGTCTAGCCTAAACCTGCCCTGGCGCAGCTTCAAACCATTCCCCCTTGTCCTATCATGTTACCAGGGAGAAGAGGCCGACCCCCACCTCACTACAGCCTCCTTTCAGGTAGTTGTAGAGGGCGATCAGGTCTCCCCTCAGCCTCCTCTTCTCCA